GCCTGGGGGGATAGAGAAGTTAAGTGATTGGAAGGATTGCCCAACCAGCACTGAACGGGATAATAGATCTTCATAGAATGAATGAAAGGCTGACCATCTGGCAAGAGCAATGGTTTCTGAGTCAGAGGAAACTGGTTTGAATCTTGCCCTTCGTTTTCTGCCTTTGTGATATTGGGTCCTGACTTGGCCTTGGTTTCCTCTTCTGTGTAATAGATGATAATAGCTAACATTTATACAGTGCTGCAGGGTTTTCAAAGTATTTTACATATTCTCAACTGATCCTTACAGCAACCATAAAAAGGTAGATATGGTTATGATCCCTATTTTACAGATGAGGAAACTGAGGCTAAGTGACTTGTCCAGGGTCACAGCTACTAGGTACCTGAGGAGGGATTTGATCCCAAGCCTTCTTTACCCTTCCAAGTCCAGTGCTCGAGCAATGCTACTATACCATTCTGCTTGATACTCCCCTGTCTCATGTGAGATTCCCCAAAATATCTGCCCTGAATTCAAGGTGCTACTGATAATGTTTTTCTCTATCCAGCCAAAGGACACAATTAGTTCAAAGCAAAGACAGCTCTGGGTAGCTAGGTGGTGCAGTGGATAGAACACTGGTCCTGGAGTCAGAAAGACCTGAGTTCAAATGTGCCCTCAGACACTTACTAGCTGTGTGACCTTGGGCAAGTCACTTCACCCTGTTTGCCTCAGTGTCCTCATCTGTAAAATGAGTTGGAGAAGGAAATGGCAAACCACTCTAGTATCTTTGCCAAGAAAACCCCAAATGGAGTCAGGATGAGTCGGACACAGCTAGAAAAATAACAAAACGAGAGTTCTTAGCAAAGTGCATGACATTTAATCATTGTTTATCGATTGAGTAAGTTGATTTAAAGAAATAGTATAGTAAGAAAGTTTGCAAAATAATATTTCCCCCTGTAAATCTAGGCTATACTCACCCACAAATATACACATCATTAGTAATGAGAGTGATCACACAGAAAGGTGAAGTGAATGGAAATAACTGTGAAGGGGCCTTTCAGGCCTCCATAGCTGATATCATCAAGCTGCTCTCACTGGTCCTAACTTTGATGGTCCCCATTGGTCCCCCTGTGGTGGTTAATTAAATAGTCTACACTGGGCTGGTTCTGTGGGAACTGTCATGCAGGCAGAGATGTTATGCTGATTTTATGTCCTCTTGGCCTTGGTGTACGCACCAAACAGAAAGTCAGGCAGATAATCTGCTGTCTAAGCTTAGGTCTTTCCTTTCCACCCAGCCGCCTTTGTTTGGGTGGAGGTCAAAGATTTCTATTACACTTTACTTTCTTACTTAGGGTTAGAGACTCTTAGATACTCCTGAGAGCCCCTTCAGATTAGTGTACAAATGGATTTTGGCCAAAACTAAAGTTAAACTAAGGAGCAAGTTTTGCTTCTGTCATTTGGCCAGCAGAAAAACCTGAGTCTCCCTATATTTGTAAAATGAGGGGCTTGTTAACTGGGGGAAATTTCAGGGTATCCCTGAACTTGGATGAGAAAAAAATCTTTACTTCAATTGGTTTCCTTTGTAAACTATGCATTTTATTTCATGCGTTTAAAAACATTATCCTAAGGAGTCTGTAGGCTTCATCAGACTACAAAAGGGGGTCTGTGGCACAAAAAATGCAGAGAACTCCTGGACTAGATGATCTCTAAGATTTCTTCTAATCCTAAATCCTAAGACCCTGAGGACTGGTTGGGGATCATTGCTGCCTTCTGAGGAGACTACAGATGGGCATATTCAAAAACAAGCTCTTTGAAGGTAGAAATAATGTCCTCATCTGCGCATCTCTTCCAACGTGAGGATAGGACCTCAGACACCAAAGATGCTTAACAGATGTTGGAGAATAAATATCCTGCTGCTTGACTTAATAGTTTTCATAATTGCATTAAAGCCTTTTGTATCTAGTCTTAAATTCTTCCTTCATTCTCTTTCACTAGCCTTCCAATCCAACTCAAGAAGCTGCAGCATGTGCAATGGCCATATGCTGGTAAAACCATCTCAGTGGACAGGCTAAACCAGGTAGAGGATAACTGACAGGCTTCAAACCAGTCACTGAGTTAGGGGAACGTCTCCCTTAAGCATGTGAAGATTTCCCCTTGTATAGTGAACAGATGGGTCACAATTTGTTCCAATGACCACAAAGGCAGCTAAAGCAGGTGCTGTGGAGCACTCAGAACTTGGTCTGACATCGAAGATGCCAAGATCATCCACTGCATCCCAGGGCCATTGCCAGTCTCTTGACTTTTGTTTTGCCACTGGACTTGATGACTCTGGAAGAGAGAGAAAGGAGCCGAGGGCTTTGTACAACTCTGTCTCACTTAAATCCAATTCAGTGCAAGTTAACACATCTCTCTGTGATGTCATTGATACTCTTCAAAAACAAAGGATGAACAAAAACAATCCAACCCCCAGGAGATCATAAACTCCTCCAGGCAGGGACCATGCTGTCTTATATTATTATATTCTCGTTGTTGAACACAGTAAGCTAATACATGTTTTTGTTCAAAGCAGATTTCCCTGTGTGACCTGGGGGAGACAGGAGCAGCTCTCCTGAAGCCATGTCAGCCCCATTTTATTTCTTGACCCAAGAATACAAGTTAGTATTTTTTTTTTTTTTGGTCACATATATTTCTTACCTCTTTTCAGGAAGGTTTTTTTTCTTCTAGGCATGTGATTCATGGGTATATTTTCTCACTCCTAGTAAGGAAACCTATGCAAATCTGCAACTGTACAATGGGGCACTAAGACATTAAGTGACTTTACCTAGTCATACCACCAATACATCTAAGAGACAGAACTGGAACCCAGGTCTTCCTGATGCCAAGGCTGATTTCCCTATCTGCTACAGCAGAGATATTTTTCTTAGGTCAAATATTTCCTAACTTGTGTTTTTAAAAAGCTTAAGTTAGGAAAGAGTAGGGGATCATCTTTTGCTAAAAACAAAACAAAACAAAATAAAATAAAATAACAAACAAAAAAACCTTGCTAATTTATTCTGTTTGTGCAAAATAACCAAGTGTCGAATTAGAAAATACCTGTGAAATCTGAGACAAGGCTGTAAAAAATGAAACAAAACACCTCTTTTCACAAAAAAAGATTTTTATTACTAAGATAGTAATGAAAACATTTCAGTTATACTTAGTACAACTTAGTTATCTATGGTTATTTTATCCATTGAGGATAGCAGGGTTTTTTTTTTTCCTCCAAGGTGAATGTTCTCTAATTAAAAATAGTCCCATTTCCCTTCCTTCTACATGTGTTATATGACCTAGATATATATAGACAGATGACGTTCTCATATAAATTGGCTCAACAGCTGGAACATTGGCTTTTCAGAGAGGGCGCAGCAAAAGCCAGGGATCATCAGAATCATTGTGCTGAGAAAAACCTACATGTCTTTGCACCTCGTTGCTTCCTGAAATAGCTCTAACCAAAGTGAAAGAAGTCTGAAAGAGCAAAAATTGGGCTTATGCTTTCTTTCAAAAAGGAAAGTTGTCCCTCAGGCACTTGAATGAAAACAGTCGTCAGCTCTGGGAATGTTTTGAGCTGAACTCTGAGAGGTTTGGGTGGCATGCATGTATTTTTTCCCATCTACCAGCTCCTTAGGAAAAATCTGCTGGCTGCTGCAGGTAGGTTGAATGGATTTGGAGCCAGGGGACCTGGGCTTAAATCTTGTCTCTATGAATGACTGTGTTGCCTTGGATAAGTCCCTTCCCCTCTCTCAGCCTATTTCCCCAGCTGTCTCTATGGTCTCATCCAGCACAGAGGCTAAGATCCTAAATCAGAATTGCCCAAGAAAAGTAATAATAATAAGTTGATTTGCCCATCACGGCTCTGACCAGCACTGGATAATCACAGCACCTTAGGCCTTGCCACTTTTGTGAAATACCTGTTAATAAGTTTCATGTAATTGTTCTTGTTTGGACTTGTCGTTTGTAATTTCCAGTCCAGCGGTGCCTCCTCACTTTTTTTTAGTCTCCTTGGGTAATATAGGCAGTATGGTACTCTTAGAAAAATTGGTAAGAATGGGGTTTGTGTCATAGCTACACTAAATGTGTAAGCAATGGGTGAGCCATTGTAGATATGGGGAACGAGGGAGGGTTGGCAAGTATCTTTGAGATGAGGAGCTAACTAGAGCTTTGCTAACTATTAGATACCTGGCTGTCCCCATGAAGACTAAAAAGATCCTTTCAAAGGAATCCTGGTTTTGGCCCTGATTATGGATAGTGAATTAATACTATATGTGAGCAGGTGGGAAAATGTCTGAAGATAAAGGCTCTTTCAACAAAGTTGGTCAGAACTTGGGGGTGGGAGTGGGAAAAGCTCTGATCATCACCTTTGCCATGGGTCAGTGGTGGGCAATGAATCACCCACTGGTGAGTCAGTGTGGTGGAACAGAAAGAGAACTCTGAATTTGGAATCAAAGGACCTGGGTTCAACAAGCACAGTTCTGCTACTTAGAATATATTCAACTTTGTGCAAGTTACTTCATTTATTTGGGCCATGGGTTTCTCCTTAGTCAAATTGGGGGTTTGGAGTTCATTAGCAGTTGGTAACCTGAGGTCCATGAGTTTGTGAACTTGAATGGAAAAAAATTATATCTTTATTTCAATAACTTCTATTTTATTTATTTTCAATATTTTTATTTATTTTATTATAATTTATGTTTTATTATATTTATTTTCAATAGCTTCTAATTGAAAGTTAACATTTACACACATACACACACAGTGTGTGTATGTGTGTGTGTGTGTGAGTGTGTATGTGTGTTCATGGGCTCATAGGCTTCACCAGGCTACCAAAGAGGAGTCTATGGCACAATACAGGTTAGGAAGCCTTGAATTAGACATTTTTTTTTTTTTTTTTTGGTGGGGCGATCAGGGTTAAGTGACTTGCCAAGGGTCACAAAGCTAGTGTTAAGTGTCTGAGGCTGGATTTGAACTCAGGTCCTCCTGACTCTAAGGCCAGAGGTCTATTCACTACGCCACCTAGCTGCCCCTGAATTAGACATTCTCTAAGGTCTCTCCCAGTTCTAGAGTCCATGACCTTAGATGTAGCTGTGGCTGAGGAAGGGGAGACAGAGACTCTATCTCAGGCACTCAGAGCCTCTTAAGGCCTAGTCACCAGGGAGGACCTACTTGGTCTGTTGATGTAGACAATTTCTATTTTATTTTTTTGGAGTTGGCAATTTCTATTTTACTGAGTTTTGAACCATCTCCAGAGAGTCAGGAGGTTACCTTCTTGTAGGCCAAGGGGGCTAAATCCTGCCTCATCTTGAGGGGTAGAATGGAGAAGCAGACAATAGCTGGAATATTGTATTCAGTTCTGGGTACCACAGTTTAGGAAAGGAATCGATAAATTGGAGGGCATCCAGAGGAAGACAGCCAGGAATGTGAAGGGCCTTAAATCCGTGCCATATGAAGATCAGATGAAGGAACGGGGGAAGTTTATCCTGGGGAAGAAAAGGCTGGGGAGTAATGGGTATGTATGTATGTATGTGTGTGTGTGTGTGTGTGTGTGTGTGTGTGTGTTAGGGGGAACAAACATGGTGTCTTCAAGTATTTGAAAGGCTTTCCTGTACAAGAGGGATTAGATTGTTCTATTTGGCCCTATCAGAGTGTAGAACCAGTGATGAATAGAATTCGCAAAGAAGTAAATTTTGGCTTGAAACCAGGGGGGAAACCCTAAACTTCTTAACATTAGAGGTTTTCCAAAGTAGAAGCGGCTGCCTTGGGAAATAATGAGTTCCTTATCACTGGAATCTTTAAAGACTATCCTGTACCAGTTATGTTGTAGTGGGGAATTTTTTTTTTTCCAGGATGAGTGGACTAGATGGCTGATTATATCCATTCCAGCTCTGAGATTCAGTGACAGTGAGATCCTGAAAGCTGGACAGCAACTATGAGGAGAAGGAATCCACTTAACCTCAAACGCATTTCCGTGTCTTTTATCTTATCTCTACTTTTGGTAACAGAGTTTCTTAAAATAAAGTGTTGTTGGAATTCATTCTCCCTTGTGGTAGACAATGTGACACTTATATTCCAGGCACAATGGACGGTTTATGCTCTAATGTCTAAAAGTACAAACTAATTTTTCAATTAGAATTTAGAATTCAGACTCCTCACCTCATCTCAGTCAATAAGTAGTGATTTGGATCGTGGGACTAATAGTAAATGACTGATGTTTGCATATCCCTTTAAGATTCACAAAGCACTTTCCTATAATGGGGTGGGTGGTGGTTGTATTATTACCTTTATTTTATAGATGAGGAAACTGAGATCCAGATAAGTGAAATGATGCGATCACATAGGCTACAAGGGTTGGCTGGTGTGGGAGCTAGGAGGGATCTTTGAGGTCATCTACTCTAACACTTTCATTTTACAGATGGGGAAACAAGGCCCTGTGACAGGAAGTGTCTTACCCAAAGTCACATTCAAATAAAGTAGTATTGAGCTGCCTTTCAGTCTCTATGCCCAGGCCAGAGATGTTTTTCAGACATCAGGGAAATATTTAGATTCACAGGAATGTCAGTGGTGGAAGGGACCAGTTCAACCCCTTCATTTCATAGATGAGGGAACTGGGACCCCATGAAGGGTCAATTGGTCCCAAAAGGCTGTCTCTTGAATTTAAATATGTAGTGTTTTCCCTCCCCACCCCCACACTTAAAAGAATAAACAGAGGAACAGGTTACTTATAGAACACCCTAGTTTAGTTTCCCTTCAGTTTGCCAAATATCCAGTCTGGATCATTATAGATCATATCTCTAGAGCTGGAGGGAATGACTGAAAATGACTGGACAACAAGTAACTTGGCCAAGGTCACACAGCTGCTAAATATTAGAGTTGAGAATTGAGCTCAGGTCCTCTGATTGCTCAGAGACAGTGTTCTTTCCACTATACCATGTAAGAATGATTCTCAATACAGTCAGTCCTTGGCCAGACACTTCAGACAACAATGCGAGATGGCCAGCCATGCTAAAGACTACCTTTTGGAGCTGACTTCTGAAAGGTCACATTTTTAAAAGCCAGCTATCAAGTGGAATATAGGATAGTACAGCAGAAAGAGTACTGGCTGAATACTCAAGAGACCCAGTTTCAAGTTCTGGTCAGCATTAGCACCTTGTATGATCTTAGGAAGTTATCTTTAAGACTCTCTGGACCTCAGCTCCCTCACCTGCAAAATACTAATGTTGGACCAGATGATCTCGAAGGTCCCATCAAGACATAATAGTCTAAGGATCTATAAATACATTTCAAAAATGATTGCTGTCTTACTGGAAGGCTCTACACCTTCCTCCCCACTGACCAGTTGCCTACTAGAGATGATTCCCTTAGTGGAGGAATAACTTGACCCCACTGGGTTATGTATTGTGTGAGCTCCTGGCTGATGGGGAGAAGGGGCAGGGACAGAAGCTGATGTTGCCTCCCATCTCCATGGACAATGTGCCTTTTTCACTGCTCAGGGGCTGTCCTCCAAAATCAAGAGTCTTCCCTGGCTCGTGTCAACTCTCAGCGGCCATACTCCCGCTCAATGCTTGCCATCAGCTCCTCTTCTGAGCAGTCGTACAAGATGGGAGTTTGTCTTTCAGGCCTCTTGCTGCTTCTGGTAGAAGTCCTGTGGGTAAAAAGACATAGCAGGGATGTTTAAGAGCAAGGTCTGTCAGGCAGAGCACTGTTAGGGGGGGACTAGTCTTAGAGACTGGAAATCTCAATTTGGTCCCATGGGATGGGCTCAGGCACACATCCCGAATGCATATTCAGAGGTTCTAGGGCCAGCTGATAAAGAAAACTTTAAATAAAAATAAGTCTGGCCCAAAGCACAAATACTATACATCACAAGATCCAAGAAACAGAGATTACCTAGTCTAATCTCCTCATTTACAGGTGAGGCACAGAGAACTGGTAAGTGTCATAGCCAGAATTTGAAAACAGGTCTTTAGATTTCTAATTCAGCACTCTAGTTAATATACCATGCTACCTCCCCAGAGAATAAAACCATGATAAAACTGGAAGGGACCTTAGAGGTCATCTGAGCCATTCCCTTCATTTTATGGATGTGACTCTGGGCAATTCATTTAATGTCTCTGAACCTTGGTTTCCTTATCTGCAAAATAAGGATAATCAATCGTACTTATACTACCTCCCTCAACCCTTAAAGTGCTATATCAATGGGAGCTATTATTATTGGGAGTGGGGAAACTGAGGTCAAGGGAAGAGTTAATTTATCCAACGTTACATTGTTAGTTTTGAGATTTGGTTTTTTTTTTTTTTTTTTTTGGTAGTTCACATGTGGCCTCAGTCACCAGCAGTGTGAGCCTGGACAAATCACTTAACTTGTTTGCCTCAGTTTCCTCAACTGTAAAATGGGGATACTTACAGCACTTACCTCTCAGGGTTGCTGTGAGGATCAAGGGAGATATTTATAAAGTGCTTAGCACAGTGCCTGGAACAAAGTAGGTACTTACTAAATGCTTGTTTCCTTTCTTCTAACTAAGGTATGATATGAGGTACCCTCAGGCCCAGTTAGGTACTCTTTCCACTAAATTAAGTTGTCTAATGGTTCACTTAGGCCTCTTTGCCCATCTTCTTGGTGCAAGATGGAAGCTCATAGGATGCAGGGGAAATAGCTCTTTTGCCTTTGGTTTCCTAGAATGAATGAATGACAAGTATTTATTAAGCACTTAATATGTGTCAAGCACTGTGCTGAGCGCTGGTTATGCAAACAGAAAGAAGAGAGTCCCTGTTGTCAAGGAGGCAGCCAGGTGGTACAGTAGATAGGGCATTGGACCTGGAGTCAGGAGGGAGACAGGATTTCAAATCCTGACTCAGATGCTTACTAGCTATGTGACCTTGGGGAAGTCACATAACCTCTCTGAGCCTCGGCTTCCTCATCTGAAAAACAGGGGTAATAATAGTATCTCCCTCACATTGTTGGTCATAAGGTTCAAAAGAGATGAGATATGTAATATGCTCTGCAAACCTTACAGGGCTATACAAATACTAGCTATATATTTTTTCTAATGGGGAAGATAACACATTTAGGAGAGTTTAGCTTCTAAGTCTATGAAAAGGTATGGGTCATAAAGGTACAGCTACAGAGTAGATAGCAAGGCCTGGGTGTCTGAACCCACCACCATTGGGAAGAGGGGAGTGGGCCCAGGAGTCAGAGTGGAGAGAGGTTCTTAGATTTCCTCTGGCAGGGGTGGGGATTAGGGTTTGGTGTATGTGTGGGGAGTTGAATGTTAGAGATTGAGAGTTGGCTTAGATGGGAGAAGAAAGAAGTTGACTTGTACCCATTATCACTGTAGTGGTTTCTAATAACTGAATAGACACTATTTTACAGCCTGACTGACCTGGCTGTAGTGTGTGACTAAGGTCCTTGGAAGAACAAAGAGTTATTGCTGCCTAGTCACTGAATGCCTGCTGTGCCTTATGACCTCCAGCAGTATTTATAGCTGAACAGGAAAAGGGCAACAAATAGGTGAGAAATGGGAGATATTTTACAATGTTTTCATAGCAATTTATCCTTGTAATCAATGACAGTGGGACCATTATATTAAGACTCTACCATTTCTGTCTCTAACATGCTGTATTGAGTCCAATTCAACGAGAATGTATTAAACATCTACTATACACAAGGTACTGTGTTAGATGTTGGGTATGCAGTTGGTTAGTCAACTAGCATTTACTAAGCACCTACTATGCGCCAGACACTATGCTAAGTGCTGATGATACAAAGGAAGGAAAAAGAGAGTTCTAAGGAGCTTCCAGTCTAATGGGGGAAATTCAAATGAGGTGAATTTGTAGTAGATCCAGGAACCTGATCCCTTTCAGCAGTGCTGGGTGATGACTGATGGTTTGTGAATGACAGGATAAAGGAAGCAGCATGGTAGAATGGAAAGGGCCTGTCTCTGCCAAACTATTCCTTACCTTCATGGAGGTTACTTTCTACCAGGAAATATGACATAGAAGCAGCTAAGTAATATAAGATAACCTGAGGATGGAGACAATACTAACAGTGAGTGGGGTCCAGAAAAGTTTTGTATAGGAGGTGAAACCTGAGCCTGATTTTTGAAGAAAGCTGAAGATTCTAAGTAGCAGAGGTAAGAAGAGTATGTGCTCCAGGCATGGGAGAACAGACATGGAAGCAGAAAAGGGAATGTTGTGTTTGGGCAGCATCAAAGAGACTTGTTTGGCTAGAGGGTGTGTGGGTGGAGTGGTGACCATGGTGACATGGTCAGACCTGTACTTTAGGAAGAATATTTTGGCAGCTGCATAGAGGATGGATAGGAAAAAGGAGAGACCAGAAGCAGGAAGAATAATTAGGAGGCTAGCCTTCTAATGAGAGTCTAGATCTGAGATAATAAGGGCCTGAATTCAGGCCAACAAGGAGTAGAGAGAAAAGATGGATATATTATGGAAGTACAATGGATAAAGACTTGAAAACTGCTTGGATATGTAGTGTAAGGAAGAGGATGACTTCAAGGTTGCCAATCTGGGTGACTAGAAGAGTGGTAGTATCAGGAGTATGCTGGTAAAATGTATAACCACTGGCCTAGCTGGAAAAAATGCACATGTATTTCTAAGTTGAATGTGTATCATTAACATTTTCTTAAGTCTAGATAATCAACAAAACAATAAACCAAGCCCTGATTTGTAGAGATTGATGATTTCTAAGGTATAAATACTTGCACTTGAAATCTGATAATCTTCTTTCAAGCTGGTTAGAGCTGGCCCCAGCAAATCGCTGGGTGTTACCCTCAACAGAAATAAGGAAAGTTTAATAAGAGGTAAGTTTGGGGGAATGGGAGAGATAATAAGTTTGATTTTGTATATATTAAGTTTGAGATGCAAGTGGGATATCTGGATGGATATATCCAGCAGGTTGTTGGTGATAAGAAATTCAGACTCATAGGTGTAGATATATATACATTTTGGAGTCATCTGAATAGAGATGATAATTCAACTCATGGGAACTGATGAAATCACCAAATGGATATAAATATAAGGTCAAGGACTAGAAAAGTGACTCCAGGTGGGTTTGGGAGGGATAGAAGTGACTTGAGGGACTGGTATTGATATGATAATTAAAAGTCTACTAATTGTCTGCAGAACAGTCATGCTCTAATGACTGGACCCTCATTGGTTAATCTCCCCATTATACTGGTAAAAACAGGATTTCCATGATACTTACTCAAAGGTGTTATTGTTCTCTATATCCTGAGTGCTCTGTACAGGAGATACCTTGGGAATAATAAAATGAAGAAGCATCAGAGAACTATCAGAATGATCAATGAAATATCCAAGTCAAATACTTGCTGTGAGATGGTGACAACTCCTACCCTCAAACATACAATATAACATTAAAGAACTGAGATTAGCACCTCATTTTTTCCATTCATTTATTCAGCAAACTTATTTATTAAGAACCTGATGTATACAGAGCATTGTGCTAGGTACAGGAAGAGACCTAAAGTTTGGGTAGGACTTAGTGCCTTCCCTCATATAGTTTATAGCTTACTAAAGGGATGAAATACAAACAGATATCGATATTGTGTATTACATGATAACCACCTTAGAGATTTACAAAAACAAAAACCATGCTGAGGTCTGTGGATGAAGATCATTAATGGCTTGGGGAATTGGGGATCGGGGAGGCATCATGGAAGAGGTGGCATTTGGACTGGGCTTTAAAGAATAATTAAAATTCAATATATGAAGAATTGGGGGGGTCATTTCAGGTATATAGAAAGAACAGCATAAGCAAACACAGAAGTGGGAAAGCAAAAGGCAAGTTTAGGAATCAGAGCATGGTCATTTGGCTACAGTATAGAGTATATAGAGGGAAAATTTTATGATGTAAATTTGGAAAGGGAAGGTGTACTAGATTGTGGAGCACTTTGAATGCTAATACTAAAGGTAAGTTCTTTGATGTCAGGGACTATGTTGTTTTTTCTATCTCCAGTGCCTAGTATAGACCCTTACATTTAGTTGGTGCCATTTCTTGGCATTGTTTTTCATTTTTGACTACATTTTCCTTTGTGCTTCCTAGCAGCTGATTCTGTTTCATTGTGGGCTTGAATGATCTTTGAAACCCTTGACTTTACCAAGCCAACAGTTATTGCAATGTCTCGAAATGTGTGCTACAAATTTTACACATTTCCTTCAAGTAATATCCATTCTTTCAAACCACAGAATTTAAAGTGCAACAAAAGAAACCAATGAAACCAACATCTATGGCATGAAATCTAGCACTCCACTGGCAGGGGATTAACTAAAATTAGGGAAACCAGCTCCAGCCAGTTTCCCTTGGTCAAGGTCAGACTTCAGAATCAGCCTAGTGTCAGTAGATTCATTCCACCATGATCACTGCTGTCACAAGATGCAAGCATGTCAAAATTATTACCTGTAACCCCAAGAATGTCTGGGACTCTGGGACAGTCTGGCACAGTCTTCGACAGGTGGTAATGCTGCTTCTGGGAAAGTCAAGTGGCCAGAATGGACTAATATGTCAAAGTCTCCTATATGAAGCCACTAAAGTATTAAACCTTTAAAGAAGGAAATTCAGACTATTTTTGAATACACAAATGCAGAAAATTGTCAAAATTGCCTATCTCTGTGATGCTGCTGAATATAAAGACTGTGTGTTTATTATATAGTACCAACAATGGCAGACTGCCAATGCATCCTCCCCATGATACAGCTCTTAGAAGACAGTTGTTTCCCTCCCTTACTAGTGATGGACTGAAGGTATGTTTTATCAGTGAATGGATGCTTTCAGTTAGGAATGAAATGTTTTGTTTCTAGTTAAAGGTCAATGATCTTTTTAGTTCCATGCTCTCCCCAAGAGAAGTGTCTATGCAGTTACTGGGTGGAAAAAAGCACTGTTAGGACTTCCATAACACAGTCTTCTTTCTGTCCCTTTAGGCAATGGCCACCTCAAAGATCTTACTTTTTTTTTTTATTTTGCTTTTGTTGGCGAGGCAATAGGGGTTAGTGACTTGCCCAGGGTCACACAGCTAGTAAGTGTCAAAAACCTTACTTTCAATCTAGTCCAGATATCAAACCTCCCTACACCAGACTGGAAAGAGTGACCTGGTGGTGTGCATATGGGATCCCTGGACATTCAGAAGGATATTTAACCATTTCCATTTATTAAAATAGGAGTGCCAATAAGCTTGGCATGTCTCAAAAAATTATTACTTGTTCCAAGTAATTAGTACACTACTGTAAGTGTTGTTGGGGATAGAAAAATGTCTAAGAAACAGTCCCATGTCTCTCCAAGAGGTGCCTCTCTCCTCCTCCAACTGCATTTGTTTTTAAAAGTTTATTGGAAGGTATGTTCTATGCTGTTTGTACGGGGGCACAAAAATGGCAAGTTAATGGCTTTAGCTCCTTGAATATCAGGCTAATAAGTTTGCACTTTGTCCTGTGGGAAAGGGGGAACTAGAGGAGTTTCTAAATGGAGGTGGTGGCATTAACAGGAGTGAAGTGTTAATGATAATTTGAAAATAAACCTCTCTCTTTCCTTCCTGTAAATCCGGTTGGTGAACCTTCTAGGCTATGACATTACAATGTATGGTTCTTAGGCGTGGTGACAATATCCACGCCCATGTTGGGGATTCCTCCTTGAAGGGTAGTGTTCAGGCTCTAGGTGAAGTCCAGTGGAGAAGTGGTAATGAAAATAAGGTTGAATTTGGGGTCAAAGAAATAATAACAACAATAATAATAACAACTGGAATTTATGTAGTACTTAAAGGTTTACAAAGTGCTTTATATGTGTTCACTCATTAGATCCTCACCACAATCTGGTGAGGTAGGTGCTACTATGATCCCCATTTTCAGATGAGGAAACTGAGGCTGAGAGGTTAAATGACTTGCCCAAGGTCACACAGGTAGTAAATGGCTGAGGCAGGATTTGAACTCATGTCTTCCTGGTTCCAAGCCTGGCACTCCATGCACTGAACCTTCTAGTTACCTCTAATTTCAGGTTCAAATTCTAGTCCTGCTATTTACTACCTTTGTGACCTTGTACAAATCATTTCACTTCTCTGGGCCTCAATTTTCTCATTGTTAAAATGAGGAGCTTCAGCTAGTTGATCTCTAAGGTCCCTTCTAACTTCATAACCTAGGACCTTAACTACACTTAAAATAGAAGCTCATGTGACTGTTCCAACCAGTTCACTGCCTTCTCTTGTCTGAAAGTTCAGAGAACATAACAGCTTCTGTCAATTCAGCAATTCTGAGCAGCTCTTCTCAGAAACCCTGCCCACTGACACCTGCAGCCATACCAGAAGGAGAGCAAAAGGCTCAGTTATTTTTCTTTGGCTATTGAGATGTTGAACTTGGTTGGGTACCATCTGGTTTTATACTAGGACCAAGTCGGATTGATTGCCAAATTGGTCATGGAAGAGGGCAACCAATTGAACACACCTGCCTTTTTGCTTATCTTACCTCAATTCCAGCTACCAAAGTCTTCTGATGGTTCATCATGGCTTGAAGATCATCCTGGGCTCCCAAAGGTTTGGACAGCAGAGGATAAATTCTGCCAGTTCCTACCAAGCTGGGAGGACTTCACATATGGACTTGGTAGTTGCCTGCATGTCTATTTTCTGAGGAACAGTCTGACTCATTTCATAGAGGCTCATTACTGGGATGCTATTCTATATAGGTAGTGAATTTGGGGAGGGGAGGGTCATTTATGAAAATCATCTACTGAGGTGTGGACGGTAAGCCAAGTCAATGAAGGAGGTGCCCACACTGATGAAATCATTGATCCTTGAAGCATCTTAAATCCACCTCATGTTCTCTAAATCCCTTCCTCCCACTGTTCCCCAAATCCCTTCCTCCCACTGTTCCCCAACTGACTCTCAGTTCTGTTTCCTCCTTCATTATTACAATATTTTGATCCATGAATCTGCTTTGAAAATCTGGCAACTAACAAACATGACTGTGGGTCTTTGGAAAGAGCTGGGAATCTGGAGATAGCATTTGAATCCCAACTCTGTTGATGACTATCCATGAGACCTTGGGCTAGTCATTTCCCTTTCACTGACCCTTAGTTTCCTTTTCTAGATATTATACCATAAGATCATAGATAAAGAGCTGCATGGGACCTCAAAAACTATCTAGTCCAGTTGCCTTATTTTGTAGATGAGAAAAGTGAGGCCCAGGTAGGTTAAGTGATTTTTCCAAGGTCATGTAGGTAGTAAGAGTCAGTGGTGGGATTTGAAACCAGTTCCTTTGATTCTAGAACCAAGGCTCTTTCTACTGATCCCTAAAGTCCTTTACAGTCCTCAGAATCTATAAGAAGCCATAACTTCTAGAACTGGAAGGCACCTTGGAGTCAAAGGCCATCATTTTAAAGAAAGTGAGATCCCCAGAGGTGGATTGATTTGTCCACAGTCACATGGCTAGTAAGCCATAAAGCTGGGATTCAAACCCAGGTCCTCTGACTCCAAATACGGTGGTACTTCCACTAAACCTTATTGCAACCTCTTCTTTCTTGAAATTCAATGCAAAGAGCAGTGGCTCTAAGCAAGGGGACTTGGGTTCAAATCCTACCTCTAATTCTCAATACCTGTGTGACCTAGGGCAAGTCCCTTAACCTCCTTGATTCTCAATTTCCTCATCTGTAAATTCACAGGGTTGCATACTTCCCCTGATACTCAATGGTTTTGAAATCAGAACACTTGGGTTCAAATCCCATCTCTGACTCTTATTACCTGGGTTATATAGGGCAAGTCACTTGAAATCTTTGGATATTTATTTCCCTCACTGAAAAATGAAGAGGTTGGACTAGAAGGCCTTCAAAGTCTCTTCTACCTCTTAAGTTCCATTCTGTAATCCTGTAATCTTGGGATCTGTCTGAACCTTTGAACTTCCTATTGCCTTTTGGATAAATGACTTGTGACTTCCTTGTTACTCAGATTAGTCAGTAGCCATACCTAAGGGGCTAGTAGGTTAGTAGAGAAATGTTGGACACTGTGGCCGTGTGACTGTTTCTCTCTGGAAATTCATTGATGCACCCAATAGCTGTTTATTTCTCTCACAAAGACTAGCTGGGGAATGTTCTGGTAAACCCTGCCAAACTGAAAAGGCTTCAAATATAGGCCAAGGGAGAGAATGTGTATTAACTATCTGGGGCTTGCTCTTGCCAAATAAGGGATGTTAATCATCATAGGCCATCACCAACATGCCTTAGGTACTGCCAGGTCAATGAGCCCCAAGCAAGAGTGTGTGGA